GTGGATTGCAAACTCCTGTCTCTACCTAAGTTCCTTAAGTGGTGACAAAGCTTTAATAGAAAAAAGCTGAGATCTAAATGTTTTCCTTTAAATATTTCAATCTAGTATTTACTTAAATGAAAGTTCAGTTAAATTGACTTGTCTGATACCGCAGGTATTGAAAAAAAAGATTTCTTTCAAGATTCAAGTGAAGTAAGAATATTATTCTAATCAGGCAAATCCCTTTTAAGAAGAGGTTGTTTTTATTTTTGGATTTTTTTGATAAGCCTTGAATTGTCCCCTTTTCCCAATCATCCTTCCCCTTTCCCCTTTTTAACTTAGCAATTCATTGGTTTTTGAGCAATTAACAGTGAAAAAACTATTGGCAATGATCATTTCTATTAATTTTTTTTAAAAAAAATTTTTTTAATTAACTTATAAATAATATTATAATAATTTATAGTATATTATTATTATATAAAATTATTAAAAAATATACTTTCTACTGATTTTCTGACTATATATAATAAAAGTTTTTCACTTTTTTACTAATAATGTTTTAATATTTCCTTAAAACAACTTGAAGTTTGTCTTTAAAAATCCTTTCTATCTTTCTTCTATTGTTTACAAATCTCTTTATTTAAAAACTTAACTTCTAGTAATCAAAAAAAGTCAAGTTATATCTTTGATACCTATAATAAGAAAGTTCTCAAAGAAAGAAAAACTGATATAAAGTATTTAAGGCTTTTCTAATCTTTGAAATAAGATAGTTATAAAGGTTTTGTTACAATTAAAAGGTATATTTTTTTTTTAAATTGTTTTAACCCTTTTAGAGCTTTCACTTTTATAGTTTTTGAAAAATTTTATCTACCTTAGTTTGATCTTGAATTTTTGATAATACAAATTCTTACCAAAAGTGATTGACTGATATAAAACACATTAATTTTTGAAATGTAAACAAGTTTATATTGATTATACTTATATATTCTGATGATATCATTAATAATTGAAAAGAATATTTCAGAAACATTTTTTTTCAAAAGCTCAAGTCCCTTAATGAAAACTTTTATAATATCAAAAGATCTAGTAATAGATAATATAAATTGCAAACTCCTATCTTTTACTTAAGTTTCTTAGATAGTAACAAAGCTTTAATGAAAAAAAAATCTAAATCTAAATACTTTTTTTTGAGATATTTTAATCTGATATTTATTTAAATAAAAAATTGATTGAATTGACTTATCCAATTTTATAGATGATAAAAAAAAAGATTTCTTTTGAGATTCAAGTAAAATAAGAAAACTATTTCAATCAAGTAAATTTATTTTGAGAAGAGATTGTTTTTATTTTTAAACTTTTTTGATGAATCTTGAACTATTCCCTTTTCCCAATTAATTTTTTTTTTTTTTTTTTTTTTAACTTAACCATTCATTGGTTTTTGAGTTAATTAATAATGACAAATTGTTGACAATGATCTTGATAGATAGAAATTATTATCAATCTATTAAAAGAGTAAACTATTGTCCTTAAAATCCAACTTAAAATACTTATATATGAAAATAAGTTGGTTATTTGTGAAAGTCTGTAAACTATTGTAGATTTTATCTTAATTTTTTGATAAGAACAAACTATCATGACATAATTGCAGATTAAAAAAATAAAATAAAATTATTAAAAGATTCATCAAATTAAATATAGTTTAAAAAAGTTTTTAGAATACAAAAAACAAGAAAACAAAATAAACAAATTAATAAAAAATAAATAAAAAAACCTAAAAGATAAAAAATTATTTAATATAAGAAATTATTAATATATTAAAAAAATAAATTGTAAAAAGTATAAGAATAAATAAAAGTCAAGGAATAATTACAAGTTGAAATTTATAATAAAATTTGTTAAAAATTATTAACTTACTAAATATTTAATATCATTTTATCATAAATTTTAAAATTAATCATACAAATTTTTTTATAAATTTATGGCTATATTTATCTAAATTTTTTATCAAATTTAGTATATAAAATAATATTTATAAGTGAAAAAAAAATATTTTTCGAGTAGACTTAAGGATAATAAAGAAAATTTGAGTTAAGAAGATAAACAAACTTTTTACAATCAAAGAACCATAGAAAAGAGTTGAAAAAAAAAAAAATTTTTTTCAAGAATACCTATTATTTATATTGATTTTCAAAAAAGTATAAAATTTATATTATTTCACCCTCGCAAAAATTATGATTCATTAAAAATTAACAAATTTTATACAAGCACGTATAAATGACAATAAGACATTTGTTTGCATTAAATCATAAAAACCATTTTAGCCTTAAATTTTATAATAAACCGTATCAAGATTACCATATGAAAAATTCATGCATATGTTAGATAAAAATGATAAATGGGAAAATGGTGTGAGTGTGGATTTGTCGGAAACGACCAAAAGTCTTTGATACACGGTAAATACTTGATATTAGTAAAATCCTTTACCGTTCACAGTACATACAGTAAATTATAATATAAATATTGATTGACCAATTTCTTGTCGGATTTACTAAAAAAGGTTTTTTTTATATGCAGTTGTGATCGAAAATGTATTTATATAATATCAATTTGAAGATAGTAATCAATTTGCGTGTATTGTGTACACTGTATAAATCCTCGTCTTTCGACAGACGTATAAATTTGGGCAATTGGAGACAAATTTAAAATCCTTCTCCTCAATATTCGTTAGCTTGTTTGAACCTTTTTGGCAAGTTGGCTAAAGATTTTTTACTTTAGATTTACGAAACGTTGTTCGACTCCGCAAACGTTTACATCTTGCGCCGATTTGTTTGACCGTACAAGGTCAAATAACTTAAAGAATGCCGGTTCATCAGGGAGCTAAAATAACGTAGAATATAATGGTACATACATTGTCTTGCTTTTGTGTTGCAAACATTTGCGATTGGAAAATGTGGAGTACAGTACGCTTGCGCAAAAAAAAATAAAAAAAAAAGAGTTCGTGGCCACGTGACACCACGGCTAAGAAATCAAAGAAAATTCGCATTCGAAAAGGGAGTGGTTCGTTTAATGAAAATTATTATTAGAGAATAATAAAATTATTTGTTATTTTAATTACAGTATTGTCCATCATGTTTGGTGTCAAGTGAACTTGAAGTTTTTCGTATTTCAAACTTTGGCTCATTTACAAAAAAGAATGCTTCAATGACTTTAATCTAAAATTTAAAACTATACAGATTCAATACGAATAAATCCTCTCGACATAAAAGAAATTTGATTGCTTGAAATGAGAACGCGAGGCAACATCAAATGAGAATGGCAAAATAGATTGCGTTTCTGACTCGCAGATGAGAATGACTAGACCGGACATCATCAGTAAGCGGTGGTTGTCATTTGAGACGGGAAGCAAGCTGGAGAAAGAAAAAAAAAAAAAAAGAAAAAAATTTTTTCGACATTTGTTATTCGCGCGCAGTCGGTAATACATAACAACCAGATATCATTATTTAGCATCGTATTCCTTACATTCGGGACTCAAGGGACCGACCGGATTTGGGTAGAGAATGTTATTTACGTTGCCATCTAGAAAATCAATGTTATTCGTCTAAGCAATCACGAAACTTTCCTTTAAATATTTGAGTATTATGTGATGATGGTTCACTCACGTTCATCGTATCGTGTGGGGAAATCCCAGTTGCACTTCCAGTCACCGTCAACAACAAATTTGAATTCATGTTGCTTGGTACGATCGATTTCAACGATGGCGACGAACTCATTTGTCTCGGGATTCAAATGCATCTCGTGCTTCTGGGCTGCATTTTGTGTTCAATGTAAAGAATTTGGTTATTTAGGATCTCACGTGGAGACGCAGGGTCGTAACATTTCGCATACCTTTCCAACCATCGAAATCACCGGTGACAAATACTTTGTTGCCACCATACTTCCAGTGGAACTGGTCATTATGAAAAATATTTGTCACCAGTCGTGAATTTAATTATTAATAATTAATAATAAAACGAAAGGTTTGGAATGTACCTCAATGGGTATCATGTCAGATTCTTTTGTGACTTCGTGCACCGTCCTCATTTCGATAGGACAAACGATTTCCAAATTACGATCATGTTTTTCCTCCTTTTCTTGTGGCTTGACCTCATGGGTGATGTTTGCATCTTCTTTGGTTGATGATTCATCATTTAAGATTTTTTCGACGGGAGGTTCGCTGGGGACCGTTATTTCGCTAACGATTTCCTCTGGTTTTAATTCCGAAGGAGTTCCCGTGACGAGGTTGACGGTTTTGGAATCTCCAGTGGTAGCATTTGATATGGTTCTGGTTTTCTGTTGCTTCTTCGATATCTTTTCGGCGGTTAGCTTTTTAGAATTTAATCGTTCCGAGGTAACTTCCCTGCTAACCCTCACATCTTCGCCCTTGATGACATACAGTATGCGCAGCAAAACAGTCAACACGACTTGTAACGCGAAAGTAACAACATTATCCACCCAGTGTCTTGGAGACAATATTTCCGAAAGACTCGTTCTCATTTTATTTTTGTTTATGTTAGCACGAGGGAATGAAAGTTTTGCGTATGCGTAAAATATATTTTCTCTTTATTTTGATCGCGGAAAGAGGGAAAAAAAATTGATGAATCGCGGAGATCCTAAAAAGGGGAGAGAGGTGAGAAATTTTTTCTTTTTTGCTTAAAAGTGAATTGTAAATGGGATATTTATATATCTGCCTTCACCCGAATAGGTCCCTGCATTCCGAGTAATCTTTTTTTCTCACAGTACAAAAGGATTATCGTAAATTAAAATCTGCTTACATGATGGTGCTTGCATACTATACAGTACTATACAACCTTTTTTTTTTTTTTTTTTTTTTTGAGAAATTTTTCATTTAACCAACTCATTATTAGTCTTTGTAAGAATGCATGTATGTGCCCACGCATATATAGTACCCCCGTTAAAAGATATGAAGATAAGTGAACGGATAAGGTAAAATAATAGTGTAGCGATGGATAAAAAAAGCAGGTCACCCGTCTTTCGCGGAATATGAAAAGGGTGACAACATTCACATACGCACAGTGATCGTTTTCCTGTTTGGTTGAGGTATGTGCGGCAGAAATTTCGTCTGACGAACTCCCTTATACGACTTACGAATTATGCACTGTATATGCGCGCGCTCGCAATGCATTGATGGATTAAAAAAAAAAAATCAAGGGAAAAGAAAAAGAAAAAAAAAATTTTTCCGGCCAACCTTCAACCGACACATGCAGAGCTTTTCGTCACAACTGATTTAAGAGATTGATAAATATCGGACATTAATAAGAAAAAAGAAAAGAGGTGAACGGTTTTGCACACATTTAGATAATCTGATAACATAAAAGCGGCAATTAATTACTTTTTTATAGGCAATAAATGAAAAAAAATACAAACGCCACTTTTCCTAATTTTGACGTGGCGTTTTTTTGACAACTGTGTTTAATTGCATTTTTCCGGGAAAATCCTAAAGTAAAATCTCGTCATTGATCGTCTTCGAGGGAAACAGATGCGTACATACTCTTTGCTAACATAACCCCTGGACAGTTAATTCCGCGTGTTTCAAAGCAAGTTACTGCTTGATTTCAATTGGTTCACCGTCCATTGTCCCTGTGCAGGGAGACACGAGATTGAGGAAAAATGCATCAGCAATCAAAATCGCTTATCGGGTACTGACTGACCGACCGACCTGAACATCAGAAACGTACGAGCAAGCCTTCATTACCTTTATGAACAAACTCCAGAACCATCGCTATCTCTCTCATGTCTCTTTCTATTACTTCAGCCCAATTTTGTACATCACCCAATTCCTTTGTATGGAAAGAATGCGTGGAAAGAAAGGAACCCGTGTTAGACTAAAATCCTGCTTGATCAGGTAATCGTTAGTACGTGAACCATCAAAACCTTTAACGCGGAATTGAAACCATCCAGCATGTTTAGCCACTGCTTCGTCTGTTTTGTGTACTTGACGGATTGCGCGGAAAGGCGCCGGGCTTCGGACTCAATTTCACGCTGTGTTTTGAAGATTGATGCAACCCTGCAAAGAAAGAAAAAAAAGGTTGTAGGATGCGATTCGAACCAAAAAAAAAGAAATCTGCTATCGAACTGTGGTGCTTATTATCATAGAATGCAATAATGATATCAAATAGGAGGGGAGACATCCCGTTGAGTACCACCAGGTGGCCCTTACCACTATTGCAAAAAAAAAAAAAAAAAAAAATTCGCACGTGCCTTTCGTTCAAGTTATCTGCCAAACAGTCGGTCACCTCACCAACTGATTGTATGACTTCTTTCCGAAGCTGTTCTGTGTGGTTATATGCAAGTAATGCAGTTTATCGGCCTGACGCGAAAAATAGCCACGAACATACATTGCGCATACCATTATTGCGTCTTACAACTTGTTGTTTTTGATTATGCTCTCTCACGAGTCTCGAAAGCATCTTTCGGGTAAATTAATTGGAATATCTGAGTGCTTTGTTTCTCTTATGAAAAAGCCACATAATAAATCATTTGTTTGCGTTACACAGTTCACATGTAATATATGTTGAACGTGCATGGTGCGTGTGGTATGCTTGCCTTCTCTCGGTCATAATGAGGATGCGGTGTTTCAGAAGCATTTGCTTCATGCTATTCTTAAGTTGCGATCTGGCTCATGCAAACATTGAGAAAGAAGTCTTCTCTTCAAATGTTGACGAGGTCCCAGGGTCCATTTATCGTGAAGTTGGCGAGTGGAACATGCTGGTGCGTGCGTGTTTATCACAAATTCAATGTTTCGAGGAGAGTGACAGAAGGGAAAAAAAAAAAAATAAATAAATAAATGAATTCAACCATCTGATTGATGAAGACCTTAACACCTCCATACACTATCCAACGTTATGAAAGGGTAACGCCTTTTCGAAATCTCGAGGAATTTTCTAACGCGCTGACAGGGGAGAAGGAGAATTGGTATATTCTCGATGGCTTGGAAGAGGGGAATACATACGAGGCAAGAGTATCCTACTCTGCCACGGTGAGTTGGTGTTTTCCATGAATTCGTCGAATGATGGATTGACGAGATCCATTGCGATGGTTTTGTTTTTTTTTTTTGATGATTAGTCGCCGACAACTTTTGTACTTGAAATAATGGGAGTCGAAGACGCGGCAAGGACATTGAGAAAGAGTCCACAGGATCACGAACCGGTAACTTTTGACGGATCGCATTAGTTTTTCTTTTAGTTTCACTGTCAAACAAGCTCGAGTCTCTCCCAGACTTCCGAGTCGAGAGTTTCCACTACCAAAAAACTAATCCGCGTGAGAGCGATCCACGCCGGCGTGTCAATTATTCCCGGCAGAGATATCCAACCGGTCGCGTACAACATCGGTATGTGAAAACTCTCCTTTTCCTTTTCCGATCATCGGACACGATTTTAAAAAAAGACGTTTCCAACTTTTGCAAAGTTCTGGAGACGCTGACGTACGGTATCCCGCACGTAGCATTTAAATTGATACTTTTCCTGGGTGTCACTATGGGAGTGGCATATTTCATATTTGTGCCGAAGATATATAAAGCTTTGCGTAAAGTTGCGGAGGGAATGGAAAGAGAGAAAAAGGAATGATCATTCGCGTCATGTTTTAAACATGTTAAATTCACACCACTACTTTTAATAGTCAACATTTTAACTCGTTCAACGACTACATTCGGAAGGCTTTTAAATAAATTACTTGGCGATCGAGTTTACGTGAAAAGTTATTAGCCGCAGAGAAAAGAGGAACCTTGAAATTGTTAATTGCTATTCGCACAAGGTGAACAACCACCACCACCCAGTCGTTCACCAAACAGCCTTCTTAACCCCCGGAATTTCGCCTGCCAAAGCCTTCAACCTGAATTGGTAACGACAGAGTCTTGAATCGCGAAATACACCTCGTCCGCGTCCCGTTTCCACGCACCTATTCTTGACACTGGTGGGCCGAGCTTGACGTGGAAACGAGTTGAGCATAAGTTGTGCTTGTTGTCTAATTTTCGGATTGATTTGCTCATTACGAGTGATATAACGATAGGCTTGTCGAACCAGTTCTACGGCAGCTACTGCCTCACGAGTTTTTAGGTCTCGTAGAACTCGAGCTTTTCGGAGAATACGAAAGTTCATGATAAAAAAAATTGTGTATTTTTTCGAAATGATGAGATCTGAGATCGTCTTAGGAAATCATTGTGTGGTACGAATGTCATGTGCAGTGCATGCACCATTAATAATTAATACTGTAAAATGAATTCGTCAAGTAATTTTCACTGACAAAATTAAGGGTCCAGAAAGTGATGTCGTCGCAAAATTTATTCTCGGTAAAAAAAGAAAACCTATGTCGGGTTCAGATCGATCGTTATGTCGCGCAATAGTTGATTGTTTCTGAGCAGGACTCCAGGAATTCCGGCATTTTTGTGTTGCCTGGGCAGTTGTTTGTCAACCTTGGATTTTTTCTCTATGACCTCCGGCGACACGTCTATCTTGGGAATGACGTGAAGATGGGGTGCGTTTTTGTCATCAAGCTTGTAAACCTAAAATTTTGGTGGGGAAAATATTATAGAATTTCGCATCCAAACGGAACACGCACGAGATTAACCTCAAAAGTTCTCCCCTCCCCCCTGAACACGCCTACCATTTGTGCACTCTCAATGTGATCTATTATATGACGCATCAACTCGGAAGCGGAGACAGTTGACTTGCTACCAAAAATAATTAATTTTGATCTCGCACGGGTGATCGCCACATTCAGCCGGCGATAATCTTTCAGGATATCACTGACCTTTTTACCGAGACAAGGGAAACTTCAAAATGAAAATTTTCGCCATCTGGATCGAACGTAGAACATCCTGGCTTACCTTATAATCTGTATTCGCTTTTACCAGCGACATCACTATAACCTCCTTTTCTCTACCCTGAAATCTGTCGACGGTACTTATCTCAATGTCGGGCAGATCCTTGAATTTCTGTGTTAAAAGCTTGATTTGATGACGGAATGGGGTGATGATACCAATTTCTTTTCGGTGTACTCCCCCGACCACCATGGCCTTGACACACTGTTCGACAAGAGAAGCTTCGATAATATTTTGGTTCAGCCCGCGGGTTTCATTGGCTTCAAGGTTATCGGTATCAATCATCACCACCGGCTTCTTGGGATCGAGAACCATTCGGAGCCAGCATTCGACATTGCAACGATTATCATCATTACTATCCCAGTCCCTATGAAATCGCGATAGAAAGTTATCATTCCACTTGGGGATCGACAAGTAGTGACTGGGACCGGCCGGGGATCCGCATAGCATTTTGTAATCATAAATGAGACAATTGGATAAATTCATGATGTCTTCGTTCATGCGGTATTGATATCTTAGCTTTGTGAACGCTCGGGTATGCTTTTCGGTCAAAGTCGTAAATAGACTTTTGTCCATTCCCTTTTCGATCGCCTCACGGTTGCGTACCAGCGGTGGCAGTTGAAAGTCATCGCCGACCAAGAGAAACCGGCTGGCAAAGCGGAGTGGGCCCACGCAAATTGGAAGGGTCACTTGCGTTGCCTCGTCAATAATGCAATAGTCAAATCTTCGCTTCGAAAATATATAACTTTAGCCATGGAAGCCGGTTTGGAGAGACAAATGAGGAAATAATAATAAAGTGTGAGCATCGGTAAGATTAAGGTATATAAGGGAAAGGAGGACGCATAAACGCAAATGTACACACTGATTTATTCCGAGGCATGTGGTCGCGATCACCTGTTTCGATTCTAAGAATGATCTGAACAGATTCACGCTATCAAAGTTTTCCATGTCCAACAGGAATGGCCATATATCGGGTCGAACTTTGGCCTTTGTGCCAATTCTTAGCACGTCTATGTCCTCGCGAACCAATTTGGAGAGGATGTTGTCTACGGCCGAGTGCGTGTAAGCTGCAAGTAACACGGACTTTCCGTCCCTCACCAGCGACTTGATGATTTGTACTATCGTGGTCGATTTTCCGGTTCCCGGCATTCCCAAAATGATCGCGTAATCTTCGGCTAGTCGCGAGAAGCATCGTGTTGAAATTGTAATGAGGTCGAGTTGAGTTCTTAAATGTTCGTGGAAATCAAATATTCTTAAACTTTGACCACCTACCATTCAACGCGAGTTTGACCGCCTTCCTCTGATCTTCATTCAAATTTTTCATGTCTTCATGATCGGATAACTTTTCATTGGCGCGACCAAATCTTGGTGGTACGAAATCCACAACCAATTTTCTAAGCCTCGCAGTTTCCTCGTCGACGAGAAGGCTCACAAGGTTTTGACGCACGAGTCTCATGTTGGAGGCCAGCTCGTCCTTGTCAATTCGATACAGCGTCTCGTGAACATCCATTTCCAGGTAGTTACCGGCCGACGTGTTCTCGCACAATTCCAAATGGCCGTGACAAGATTCGATTTCGAGGTCGACCTTACACTTTGGACCGTTGCGAGGTATTCGATCCAAAGTTAACCAGATATAATTCGGTGCAATGTTCTCGACAAACCCGCTCGCTACTGTACGATGTTCCCGCTCCGAGGACACGATCACGTGATCCCCAACGCAGAATTGGGTGTCCAAGACGAAATTCGCCCTCCCCATCTGATTGACGAATTTGCATTTGAAACGTTTGTTCCCTTCGCCATTGGGAATTATATTAATACTGTCCGGATCCAAACGCATATTGCTGAGACACAGATCATCGTCACATTTGGTGGATAGCATGTTCCAAATTTCAGGTTGAAATCGGTACAAATCTTCCTCTTCCAACGAGATGAGTTCATCCCATTTTCTGTAGAAGTCGAGATGATGATCTTGCAAATGAGAGACAATGTGATCAAACAAATCCCTGATATCACCCGCCCCCGATCCTTTCTCAATGGCCTTGTGGTAGAGGAAACACGAGGTATTCGAGGCGCAATTGCCACATTGAAATTTGTTGTTAATCATCGGTGGTAACGATGAAAATTGTGCGTCGGACGCAAACCAAGCCACCCTATTGCGTTGAATCATCAGACTTCTCAACTCGTGAGGAACAACTGGTACTTTGATCATCTTTCCAGTTTCCTCATCTTGAGACTTTAGGTAATAAAGTAGTCCTGACCCTACGTCAATGTCATAATGATCGCTCATCAAGAGACAATAAAAGACGGTCTGTGCAAAGTGCGAGGACGACACATTTCTCGAAGTTTTCAGTTCAAAGGGCATTATCAGCTTTTTTGAAACCCCATTCTCCGATAACTTAACCTCCACCGAGGCATCAATTTTTCCCTTGAGACCATAGGTCGTGGAACAAATGTGTTCCTCGATGTCCATTACTTTACTGATACAAATGGCAGGCTTAACATTGCTAGTTGAAAGATGTTCCTCTATTGGCTTCGGTGTATCACCGATAAACCTACCTGCCCAGGCCTGGATTTTCGGAATTTCACCTATCAACTCCCTGATCACTTCTTCCTCATTCAAATCGGCCGAATAGAGTTTTTCAATTGACTGCTTTGTTAGCTTTTCGGCCTCGGACTCAATGAAGGAATCGGTGAAATTTTCGTTTACAAGACATGCCTGTATCAATTCGTGGAACAAGCTTCCGTAGGTTAACGCAGAGTTGTAAAAAAAATTCCCATTAACTCGATCGCTCAAAATTCCCTTCCGCATGCACGTGAACGAATCGGCGACAGAGGTCGCCGATATCAGAACATCAGGGCGCACTATCACAAGACCTTGCGAATTATCAACTATACACTTGTTGTCATCGTCAAATTTTCCAAAAACATTGACAGTGTTTCCTATCAACGGTGAAAAGCAAAGTAGCCATCAATTTAATCCACTTTTTACGATTCCGAATTACGTGAAGTGATATAGAGAGACCTCAGGTGAAAAAATCAAATTTACCGTCACATATCGATGTCTCTAGCCAATCATCGCGCAGATGTAAATAGCAAAAGTCTCCGTTTTCATTGATCAAGGTGACCACCTTTGTGGAGGAAATCGTGATTTGCTTTTTTTTTTTAAGACGGAATGAAGAACGCACGTTGATCACATACCTTTTCATTTTTCTTAATTCCATGTGAAAAATAGTGACCAAGTTGGGTTTGAAAGACCTCCAGTTTCCTTACATCACCGAATGATTGACCTCTCTCCAATTCGGCACGATTCACTTCATCCCTATTCTCGTTCCAATCTGTGAAATCAAAATCTTCCCAACCTTCCATCCAATCTTCGAATACATGATTCTCGTCTACGCTTTGCTTTCCGTTTTCTTCGACGACCGGCACTTTTAAAATCTTGGTTTCGTGCATGTCGAGTTGATTAGATTCGATGGAACTTTTTTCCGCTGATGAATCAGAACGGTTTGGATTAGCCGTTGACTTTTTATGCCTCAAGTCATCGTCTTCTCTTAATGCGTCGCTTCTCAGCACTCGGGTATTCTCGATCGTTGAAGCCGCTCCGTCCGAGTTGTGAGCAATTTTTGTTCTTTTGTTTGGATGAGCAAAATTCCTCCATTTCCCTGCACCGGAAAATAAGTTAACTTTAGTCATAATTGGCGTGTTGTGTGAAATATCCGACGCGAGTTGTCCGTCCCATATATATGTTAGTGAGATGTCACGTCTGACGTCACTCGAAACATAACTCGTGGAACAAGCACACGTTACCGCGCTTCTGTAGACAGTTTTGTTAAATACTGTATAGTAAGTACTCTTATCCTAAAGGTTTATTATTATTATTATTATTATTATTATTATTATTTCTGCTATTATTATTATTACTATTTTACATGATAATCCGCAGAAAGAAAAAAAAAATTTCTTATATTCTCTTCAAAAGAAATATGAATTTATGCAAGTATCATTAAAGGATCATGTTATTCGGATCAACATAAACATTAAGATGAATGTAATGCACACGAGCACAACAACGGACCAAACCAACCACGTAGTCTTTCTGGATTGCGCCGCATATTTGACCAGCCTGGAACTTTCTTTTTTTAATCTGTCCAGATTCGTACCGAGAGTATTTTGCGCTTCGTCAATGACCTACCAATTTTGACGATGAATTTTAGCCGCATTGAATAATTCAACACGAGTTACTTTTTTTACATTAATGAGAGAGAACCTTTTCATCCTTCGTCAATATGTCGCCAAAGATTACTGAATTCATCTTTAACCTCTCGACCATCTTTACCAAATCGTTGGTAAGTTCATCCTGCGTTTTTCGGTGATGTCGTAGAACGGTTTCGATATTGGAAGTATCCTCTTGGTCAAAGATCGGCCTTTATGTAGACGTTGTATTGTAGGTGAGGATTTTTTTTTTTCCTCACTCTCTTTAAAAAAAAATAAGAAGATAATAATAATAAAAGACGATATCAAACCTTCGCTGTCTCACGTCGGAACCCGAGTTGTCGGAAGAAAACAACTCTAGATTCGAAAGAACGGAAGAAATTTATGTACATGCAAAAAAAAAAAAAAAAGTAGTGTGCGGCCAAGTGCAAACAACTCACCCAATCTTTTTTCGGAATACGATCGAACATCTTCGGTCTCTGGATGATGCAAAGGTGTGGGAGGCTAACGGATCAAATCAGACTGCGTGTTAATAGTCATGAGCCGATGACATAACGGCGACCAAGGAAACTGCAAGCCACCTGCATCAATTCTTCTTTCAATTCCTTTTCGGCCTGTCTAACCATTTTTAGCTCCAATTGATTCTCCTTGTTCTTATCCTCTTGTGATTGATGGGCATGCTTTATGAAGCGCGCTTGTGAGAAAGTTCGAGTCACAGGAGATATCTGCAAAGGGCCGTCAATCATCGCTCTCCAAAAAAATTCCATTGAAATTTCAATCCTTTTGCTTACCAATTTAAACTCATCAACAATGTCAGACAAGCGTTGGATCTTGCGCTCATACTCGCTAATGGCCGTCTTATCTACCTGTCTTGTTAAAATCGACAAACGTTTGATCAATCAATAAAAAAACCAATGTGCAACGTAACAAGCTAATCATGCACACCTCTTCGGCTTCCTTCTCGATTTGCTCTAGTAGTTTACGGAGGTATTTGATATTCTGTTTAAAATAGTGGAATTCGGTTGTTACCAATGCGACTTATGCCAAAGGTTAAAATATATTTTTTAATAAAATTAACTTGCCGTCACATATTTCATTTTCTCGGGACCACGGATCAAGCCATTTTCCTTCGATGCACGCTCTTCGCATACGGCCAATAGCCTCTGAAGATTAACCTCTGTTTTTGTTGGAATTTGAGTTGCCGTTAATGTCATGACTTATATAAAGATTTTCTTTGAGAAGGGTGGGGGGGGGGATTTTTTTTAAGCAGGGTAAGTTACACGAGATTAGCAAGGGCATGTGTGTGGTGTATTGTGATAAAAAAAAAAAAAACCCCCGCCCAATCAAGTCGAGTTAAAAGAGGTACAAATCAAACGGCTGGTCAGGATTTAATCTCAATTCGCATGTAAAGAAAACTGCGTTCCGAAAGACCGTCTTCGAACCTTGTTTCAACCCATATGTGAACGTCGCGCGGTTGTATCCTCTTTCAGTAACATCGGAGGTCAATCTTCTTAATTTCCTAGCCTTGGGAACTTGCCATCTAAGCGTTAAATTTAACCGCAATACAACTGACAGAGATTTAAGAACAGAAGTTGAGAATTTGTTACCTTTTAACGACCTCCTGCACAATAGTTCCAAGTGTTCACTGTTGAGCAACATACCTTGGCTGTGATGCATCACCATGAATCACACTCCGCGACAGGTGATTGAAGTTCCCGAGAATTTCGAAATGGTTGACATTAATCATTTGACGCACATGATCGGTTAGTCACTAATTCTTTCCTTCCTTTGCGATATTTTAATTTATATGCGTAGTTAACACGTTGGTCTCCTCTCAAACAATCAATTCAGCCGACATGTTGGGTCATTTAATTGCACATAATGATCGAATACCTCTGACACACATATCCCGCTTTCACTCCAGAGCGACTCCCTCAATCTCGGTTTCGGAATACCTTTGTCGTATAGTAAGGTTCACCTCCATAGAGAGACCCTGTCTCCTGTTACTCTTGATATACATAGACCGAGTGTGTGAACGAAACAGAACATTCACAATCACCTCTTTGACCGTGCATCGATTCATCATCACCGCGGTTACCGTATCATCTAAAGCCCTGTGCGATTTTTACTATGCAAATTCTCATTACGCGAGGGTAGGCGGAATATCCAACCAAGAACTCAACACCCTAGAGTTGGAATTTCTACCGCTTATTGATTGGCAGTTGATCTGCACAAATGAAACATTGCAGCAATATTATGTCAACCTGGTTAACCAGAACCCAAACTATAGGTTTGCTTCTTCAGAGGCTGAAGGTTGACAAGAGGTATCCTCGGTACAGAGGGAAGGTCGAGTGCTTTGATTACACGGGATAGTAATCCGGGATGGTGTGTCGTTCATATAGATCATGTAAACAACCCTCAGCCCCGGGCTTTTGTCTATTGAGATGCCTGTGAAGTTGGCAAGATGTGCATGTTTCTTATTAGGCTTAAATGGCCACTGAATTCTTGTTTTTATTTTTTTAATTATATTCGAAACCATTAATTAAATGATGCGAAGGATCGAATGGATTCGTGAAGATGTCAGGTGGTCCGTTTCTTGTTTTTTGTTTTGTTTTGTATGTTCTTTTTTTTTTTGATTTTGAATTCGAGGTGAAGAAAGGTTCAATTTATTATTATTATTATTTTTTTTTTTTTTCTTTGATGGATTTTAGGCCTCTTTTACATTAATCGTTCGAGTAGCATATAAAGACGACATTTCTCCATGTCACCAGTTTCGATGCATATTTAATTTGTTTATCTGCCTGTATATATTAATCACATTCTACGCTTTGTAATCTTTGCTCACGCATTTGTACATTTATAGAAATTAATCTTCGAATTATAGAAAGAATATATAGGTCATGTATATAACCATATTTCGAGTGTGAAGTGGCGGCAACCCGACATAACCAATTGGCGATTATTATTATCATTATTTTTTTTCCTTCATGCTTCATTGGTGCAATGTTTTTCTGCGCGTCAAGTCTTATGTAATCGTTTTATGAGGTGCTACCTTAATTTGGAGCAAGATCGTTAATATCACCTCCCGATTTGATTGTGTAACGATTTTTTTTTTGTGTGGTGGCATTCATTCAGATTGTATTCGGTCAATTAATGTTTATAAAGAAAACGATTGCATGCTTATATGGAAATTGGAATGCTATACGAATTTACGAGTGTGATCTTATAACAATGATTGCAGTTTTGCCGAACACTGGCAAATCTGGCATATAAATTTACTGCGCAAAAAAGAATGAATTAATAATTTTTTATAAAATTTTCAACCAAAAAAAAAGCCTTTTCTTGGATTATATAACTTTTTTTTTTGAAAATTTCTCCTGATGCATGTTCCCACGAGAGCGAGTGTGACGCCGAGGGAGATTCGTCAAAAAAATTTTTATGGTTCGTCATATACTTTACATTCTAATGGTTCACGTGACTCTTAAAATACGCCACAAAATAATGACAAAAATTTGTTTTATTGGCAAAAAATTTGGTATAAAAGAAAAAGAGAGCCTGTCATGGCATTATAATATAAATAATATTCACTATGCAAAAAAGAAAAAAAATACTGATTTACTTTAGGAAAGGAAAAAAAAAAAAAAAAAAAAAAAAGGAAAGAAAAAAATTTCAAAGTTCCCCGAAAGGCGAGGAGATCCAATCTAACGGACTACGAGATCACGCATCTCGGAGACCTCGACCTTCTTTTATAATTTTCAATGTATTTTAGTTGCTTATTGTTGATTGCGCCTCGCCGCCTTTCGCGTATATAAAGGATCGCATCCAGCGCGCTCATGCCGGACTCGATCAATGCAATGGCAACCAAAACCGGTGCCCTAGAAGATAATAATAATAATCATCGAATCTGGTCATCCAATTTTATCTAAATGACAGACAACACACCACACCCTTAACATACCGGCCGAGTCCAGCCACGCAGTGACACGCGATGGTTGGTCTTACTCCTTCATCGACGCATTCTCCAAATCGCTTTTGAACAAGGTCAAGCCAGTCGTTAACAATTTGGGTTGGTGGAGCCTCGCCATCACCAAAAACCCAATCCTGATGTTTCAAATAAAAATTGTATAAGTTGCGCTAAAAGAAAAAAAAATTAAAGAAGAAAAAAAAAACTTACGTGAACTTTCATTCCACGCTCCTCAAGAGGCTTGATGTGATAGGTCGGATCACACACACGAACAACATCAGTCACATTGTATCGTTCGAATTCCTACAGAAAATTTCATGCAGACCGTTGATATAATGATTCGTTTTGATTTTTTTTTTTTTTTTTTTTAAAAAGATGGACAAATAATATACCTGAATATAAAGAGCCAAATTATTGTTCGATGGGGCATCCGCAATCAAAAAGCGAAGATTTTTATGCTCAATAAGCGTTGGAGGGTTGATAGGTGAACGGCCATTCACCGTGCCGGAACCTCGTATTGCTGGCATGATTATTGGTTTGTTTTTTTTTTTTCTTTTGAAAAGGCGATGAATTTTAACTTAGTTGGAAAGTCGTTTAAATAGTGTTCTCGTTGTTTCTGGATAATAAGTGGTTGAAAAGAGAGGATTGTAGACAAGCGAATAACTGAGTTTACGAAGAAATCAAAACACAAAATACGCTGTCGCAGGTTCGTAAAAAAATTATTCGGCACTTACGGTAGTTGAATTTTCTGTTCCGACCCGATTTTAGTCGAGGGCGACGTAGAAGTCGCTACACAAATGGCAAGGAAATTTATCTCAAAGAAGTCTTCAAAGAAGAAAGGGATGACTAAATTCCAGAGAGCGGTAACTTACCTCTAATTTTTTTTTTTTTTTACAAAACGAAGTATTTGTGATGTAAAACGGTAGTATGTTCACAGACGAAAAGTTGGCACCTAGGCGGGCGGCGAAAGGTATGACGCAGCGACTAAGCAAACGGCAGGCTCGAAGTTTACATAAGTTAACCAGGGTCAAACATAGGAGAGTGCGCGGGTGCAGAGGAAGCTGCGGGAATCAACTTGATGATACAGACTTGACAAAGACGACGAGGGTTGATCAGTATAGTTAAAGGAATACCCTAAAGCTACGTGAAAATTTTTCGGTTGACCTTTGGACTGATGATGGAGTTTGAGAAAAATGATAATTTGAAAAAAAAAAAAAAAAATTTTTTTTTTTTTTTTGAAGTTTTTGAGTTGAAATAGACAAAGAAAAATTCGGGTGCAAATTAATAAAAAAAATTTCTGCTTAATGGCTCAGCATTCATCATCACGAGTAAATCAAAGTTTCTTATGATTGGTGGCAAAAAAACGGATTTAATAACCATTGCATATACATATAGTATATAAAATAGTCTTTAAAAGGGAGGAGATGCAGAGATATCACACTTGCAGCCAATTCTCAGCCGCAAATATGGATCATCTAGGAAGTTACATAAATTACTTTTCGTAATATAAGCACCATGTGACGCAAACAGATACATCACGTGTAATCAATAATTAAGGCCAAAAAGGGTTAGTCATCTCGGTAATAAACGACTAAGGCGTATTGGTAGGTTTCCTACCTACTCAACTTCTGCTAATCAATTCGTGCTGTGGTGTTGTTGTGGTCGCAAATGAAAGTACGAGATATACGTAAAAGGCGTGCACCACTATGAATGCCCCTGAAATAAGCATTTTTTTTTTTTTAAATAATACAGCATTATTCATTATTATTACCATTATTATTGTTTCATTATTCGTCGCTGGTTGCTTATTCAAGGAGAACTTGGACCGTAATACATTATTATTTATCGTCACTTATCAAACCATCCTTTTTTAAATAGAAAACAACGGTTGTATTACGAATTGTCTTAAACTATCAAGATATTGAACAGATAATCAATATAACATAGAAAGAAATTAAGAACGCTTTGCCCTAAGATTTTGCTGCAAGATAGGCAATTGGAAGATGAACGTGATAGAATACAAGCCAATGGTATTGAGGCACAATCATAAACAATCGGCTCTTGTAATATTAATGAGGAATAACAATGATATCATTTCAAGATGATTCTTGAAAAAAAAAAAAAAAAAAATTATAATACGCACTGTGCACACTAAGCATCCGACGAGTTTTTTTTTAATTCTGATAAAGTTTGCCGGCCGTGAACCCCGTAAATTTGCCAGATCATTAGCGATCACTAAAAAGAAGGTCAAATGGAAAAAAAAAAAAAAAAACTTTGCTATTTAAGAAATCGATTTATGGTTATTTTCTTTTTTATTACAACGCGAAATTCTAGTTATATCACTAATGCTATATAGTATTAAAAGAAAAAAAAACCTTCTTTTGCAAACTACCTATTCACTCAATTTTTTTTTTTTTAATAAATTTCGTGTTTTTATGCACAGGAATTCAGATTTTATTAGGGTTTTGGAAAATATAACTCCTTACGAATTTTTTTTTTTGTAAAAATTTTACAGCGTATAGTTTATATAAATGCAATGCAGTGGTCATAAAATATAAGACAAAGTGTACATTTTTTCAATGTTTTTTGTCGTTATTTCTTTGAAGCCTTGACAGCTGCTTTGGTGGTCTTGCCCGACTTGTCAACTTTTTCGACGGCCTATTGAATAAAAAAAAATGATAATAATAAATAAATAAAAATTTTGTTTTTAAATAAAAAGTGTCGCAACAGAACAATACAAGTGCTAGAAGTGATTGCTAACCTTGATAACTCCCACAGCGACCGTCTGACGCATATCTCTCACGGCGAAACGACCTAACGGAGGATACTCAGAGAAAGCCTCGACACACATCGGTTTAGATGGAATCATTTTAACAATAGCTGCATCTCCAGATTTAACGAATTTGGGGTTATCCTCAAGCTTTTTACCAGAACGACGATCAATCTTTTCTTGCAATTCTGAAAATTTACAAGCAATATGGGCGGTGTGGCAATCCAAAACTGGCGCATACCCAGCGGAAATTTGTCCAGGGTGGTTGAGAACAATGACCTGAGCGTTGAAGGACGCCGATTCTTTGGCAGGGTCATTCTTGGAATCGGAGCAGACAAACCCTCGACGAATTTCCTTAACTGACACGTTCTTGACATTAAATCCGACATTGTCACCCGGTAAACCTTCGACTAACTGTTCGTGATGCATTTCCACCGATTTGACTTCAGTGGTAAGACCGACTGGAGCAAAGGTGACGACCATGCCAGCTTTGATAACACCGGTTTCAACACGACCCACGGGGACGGTACCGATACCACCAATCTTGTAAACATCTTGAAGAGGGAGACGAAGGGGCTTGTCGGTAGGTCTAGTTGGTGGCTCAATAGAGTCGATGGCTTCCAAAAGTGTCTTGCCCTTAGCACTTCCCCCTTTAATTTCCTTTTGCCATCCCTTGAACCATGGCATATTCGACGATTCTTCTAACATGTTATCGCCGTGCCAGCCGGATATTGGGACGAACGCGACGGTCTTGGGATTGTAGCCAACTTTTTTGATAAATCCGGAGACTTCTTTGACGATTTCGTTAAATCGCTCTTCAGACCACTTGGTCGTATCCATCTTGTTAACAGCAACAATAAGTTGCTTAACACCAAGGGTATAGGCTAAAAGTGCATGTTCACGAGTCTGTCCATCCTTGGAAATACCAGCCTCGAATTCACCAGTACCGGCAGCAATAATCAAGATAGCACAATCGGCCTAAAAAAAAAAAAAAAAAAAAAAAAAAAAAAAAAAAAAAAATAAATCAATGTCGGTCACGTGATACTTGTATGAAACGTGGCAATTTCGCCTCAAGTTTAGAAGTTGTAGACACAGCAAATTTATTTACCTGGGAAGTACCAGTAATCATGTTTTTAATAAAGTCACGATGTCCGGGGGCATCAATAACAGTGACATAATATTTTGGAGTTTCGAACTTCCAGAGGGCAATATCAATTGTAATACCACGTTCACGTTCAGCTTTCAGTTTGTCCAAAACCCAAGCATATTTGAAGGAACCTTTACCCAGTTCAGCTGCTTCTTTTCTGTTTGTTAAAATTCATGAAAAGTTGTTGAATTCTACGTTAAAATCAACAAGTACAACATCAACAAATGATCCTTACTCAAATTTCTCTATCGTACGTTTATCAATACCCTAGGACGAACAAGATGAGAGCCTACGTGAGTATTCACCTACCATAAGTCATTACTTACAAAGGGAGTTTCATATAGGCAACATACCCCACACTTGTAAATAAGATGTCCAGTTGTGGTGGACTTTCCAGAATCGACGTGACCAATAACCACGACGTTAATGTGAGTCTTATCTTTACCCATGGTCGCTAAAGATGGAAAAAGAAAATACAGTTATTTTTGCTGTCCTGCGTATAGTATGTAATTACAAATTTGATGATAGGTAATATTCATCTTTTTTGCAAACGTTGCTGCGGCAAATGCACAAGTAAAAAAAATTTTTTTTTTTTTTTTTTTTTTTTTTTTTATCGGATGTTCCTTTGAATAAGCACAAAAACCATCACAGCAAATTTTTTTTTTCAGATTCGATGTTCATCGGATGGATGGATAATTTTTGGAATGAACATCTGAAAAAAAAAAAAAAAGAGAAGAAAAATACTTACATTTTAAAAACTATAAGCATAAAAATCTAAAAATCAAAAAATACGTAAAGGAGTCGTGAAAGGTGAAGAGGGGAAGCATAAAAATCCTGACCGACCTTAATAAATACTATCCTGATGAAGCTCCCAACTGGGGTTAATGGATCAGAGTATCAGATGGCAGTCAAAAAAAAAAATTTTTTTTTTACTTGATAAATTGATTGATTCTATCAATTCATCAATGGTGTATTAGTATGATCCGTCCCCCCTTTTTTTTAAATCCCTTTTTTTCGCGAATTGTGATAGGCAAAGAAAATTTTTTATGTTTGATTCAATTGTTAAAAGTTTCTTACACTAAAGTGGCTGGATCGCAATGTAACCGCGCCCAATCCTACACCTCGTTTGAAATTTTGACAAAACATTAGTCATAGATTGCAATTGGATCTTACTTCGGTTACCGTTTTAAAATTCGGCGAAGCAATATAAAAAAAAAAACGGGGTTCCTTGACTTGGAAATGCAGGAAGCTGGAACACAAAGTTTTTTGCCCAACCATCGGCGCAGATATCCAAATAACCAAGATTAGACACTCTGTGAGATCGGCAATCGACAGGTTTTTTTGTGTTTATCACCCTCGTGCAAGAAATGTTATTAAGAAAAAATTGGGTTTATCGAGTAAAATCAGAAAGGTAACATTTTTTTTTTCAAATTTTACTAATTCGCGAGCATGTTAAAAAAATAATTAATTATTTTTTTTAATTAATTTATTCATTTATTTATTTATATTTACTATAATATGGTATTATATTAATTATAATATGATATTTATTTTATTTTTTTTTTATTTATTTTTTTTTTAATTCACAAATAGGTTAACATGACTTGTTTTTATTATATAGATACATGATATCTATAAATTATTTAATTTTCATATATTGATTTACCTGTTATTAAAAATTATTTCTTTAACTATAACTTGGGAAATGATATTTTGCTCATTTGCTAATTTGAAATATTCTTTAACCAACAAAATTATTGTTTATAATTTATTATTATAAATCATTTTAAATTCTGTTTGCAATTAAAAATCAAACCATTTTATTTCATACCAAATCTAATCCTTAATAATTTCTATATAATCATTTTTCTTATTTTTTCTATTTTTTTTTTATCTTGATTTTCAATTGAAATAAGATGAGTTTTTCTTGATTTTATATAATCTATTCAATGAGCCTGTATCCAGATCTTTTAGATCTCTTTTCCTTTCTAATAATATCTAGTTCTTTTTTCTATTCTATTACTTTGGTATATTTGATTATTCTAGATTTTTTTCTTAAAATTTTTTTACATTTTTCAATAAAACTTATTTATTATAATCTACAGTTGCTTCCAAAAGTTTGAGTCTACTTACTATATTTTTATTATAAATTTCAACTTTGACAATTTTTAAATCCTTAATTATACAACCAAAAATTATAAAATTC